TAAAAGGAGGTCCAGAAGGAGGTGAAAGTCAGTCGTTACATGGTTTTCATGTCAACTCGGGTCTCTGTTCTGGTAACAGAATGGGACTCTATTTTGCACCGATCTCTGACAGACTCTGGTGGAACTTTTATATTCTAATTGGTGTCTGTTTTTGTTGATAATAAAAATGTTGGTAAAAGTTCAAGCTTTCTTATCTGGCCCAAGACTTTTATTAAGATTTACAGAGTTTGCTGAAATATTTACATTCAAGCATCAGTCATATCAAAAGTATCAATCAGCGTCACACACACACGTTCACTGAACTTGAACAGAAGCTACAACAATGAAAGTAAGTCCTGAAAGCACTCCTATACAAAAAACACCAAAACTATTGATTACCGTATTCACTCACTGGTGTCAAGAAAGCAAACAACACAAAAATAAACACATCTTTCAGTAAGTTCTAGAGGAGAAATTTTAATGTTTTCTAAAGCCTATAAAGAAAACACATTTGTAGCTACCAGCAGAGATTCAGCAACGCCTGCCGTTTACTCTCGAAGCGTTTTGTCTCTGTCCTGTACACAGACTAAAACATCCTGATAGTTCAATATGATTTCAGTTTTCAGAGGACTCTCAAAACCGGTAGTTTCTTGTTGCTGCTTGTTGTCTGAATATCCATTCCACATAAACTCTACCAGTTGTACTATTAATATTTTATATTTATGTTTCGTTATATTTCCTACACACAAACTTTTCATTATTGTTTCTATTCCTTAAAATGAGAGCAGTTGTAAGAAAGAATTTTCCTTCGGGGATCAATAAAGTTTTTCTGATTCTGATTAAAGAAAGGATGATGGTGACCTTGGAGGAGCTGAAGTTTGTAAAGCAAATTAGGGATGCAAACTGGTACTTTTAAGCCAGGTTAGTAATTATCCTGAAATCCTATATAGAAACAAAAAGATGCATCAAGATTAAAGCTGGATGATTTGACCTAAAATCAAAATCACGATTAATTGAACATTTCACCTCAATTACGATTATTGAACAATTATTTTGCTTTCGAATGTTTGTTTTTTTTGCCCTCATATTTCACTAACAATGTTTGTACTGTAAATAAACCCAATTATTCAAGCTGAGTTGCAGCAGGGAAAACAGCAGGGGAATCTCCCGGTGCTCCTGATGGTTATTCCGCTAGTGATGATTGTTAGTCTGAGGTGTTTGAAACTCAGCTGAATCTCAGAGTGGAGTCCGCTCTCAGCATCGTACCATCGATCATTATATTCCACTCACTCTGCAGTCAACAACATTTTCTTGTCAGTCTTTTATATCATGCAATAATCATCTGACGCTAAGTTTATCTGAGAAAAGTTAATACTGTCAAAACCTAATTATTTGACGCTAAAGGTGAGGAAGAATGAAACACAGAGATTTTCTCGGAGCCCATACAAGTCTGATATGCCAAACTACCTCAGCACATTCAGTCCACAGTACTTAACAGAACTGGGGGAAAATCAGGTGGATACGTCACACTTTCACAGAGTTATACGAAAGAAGCTGTTTTCAATCACAGAAAGTAAATCAACTCAAGTGATCTTTATTGTTCCATGTGTCATGGTCATGATCAGATAAAACATTAGTTAGTACTTTAACACATCCTGAACTTTTAAATGTCAAAGTTTTACAGTTTAGAAGCCAGTGAAGTTTAAACGTCAAGAGTCACTGTCGGGATGATTGAAACAGGTGTGACACGCAGGAACTCTACCTTATTTAAATATGGCAGGAGGGGGTCAGAGTCCACAAGGCTGCAGGCTGGACCACCAGGATGCTCACAGCCAAATAACAGGGTCTTCACAGTAGAGCAGGAAAACAGGTTGCAGATGTGCATAAAAAGGGCAGCCGGGATTAAATCCAAATGTGCATTAGCAGTTAGATTTTTTTAGTTAGCTAGCAAAATTATATTTAGGCTATGCTATTTTTTTATTAAGATAACAACAACAACAACAACAAATGGTTTCTGTCTGTAACTTTATATTTTAAAGTGATGTTTGGTGAAAAGTGTTTTCAATCGTCCCGCTCTCCCCTACCCTTCAGCGTCCAAATGAAACGCCACCGTTTGCTACGTCACAGCAACACAAAGGAGGTCAATGCGCTAGCAGGTAGGATTAGCCAGTCGACATGCATAAAGTAAGTGACTTAGATTTAGGGATTTACATTTCTGATGGTTATATTAAGGGTAGGGGGCTTTGCGGGGCTGTCAACACCTTTAACACGACCGTAGCTAGCTAGCACTTCCGCTCTGTACGAGACGCCCCAGGCGTCTCACACAGACGCTGAAGGGTACTTTTAACCTCAAATATCTACTCTATGTCACTTTTTCTGAATGCGTTGGTATTGGACACCCTGATGAGAATGGTCTTGCTGTATCTACTGTCTATCATGTTTGATATTCTTCATATTCTTCTCCTGTCGTCATTCAGACCCACCAAAATCAAGTCCTTCACACAGCCAACACACCAGCGGCCTGTACCACGAAGCAGGATTTGAGCTTATCCAGGTAACTTTGGGGTTAACCCTGGGTTATGTTCCAGATAAGAGATCAAATTTTGTTTAAAACATTTTATGTGATTTTCTTCCTCATTGCCCTTTCCTTCTATTTCAAAGCAAAACTAATATATACAGTATGATATATTGTTAGAATAACGGTACATTATT